CATAGCTGCTTTAGATGGGGATATCCGTTGATGGGGCAGACACAACGACCGACTCTATCTCTACAAGTGGAATGACATCAATTCCTGCCTCAGATCCCATCAAGGGAAGATCTTTCTCTAGATGTATCACGGCCGAAGGAGTCGCTTCAGACTCCATTCGCCGCCTCTTTGATGGCCCCTTCCCTTTTATAGCATGGGAAGATTCCCCTGTTGGGTAAGTGATCGGGGTCGGAATCTCTGTTCGAGGGGTAGCCTCCGTGCGTACAGCCACAGCCGTAGATAATTGAGGCATCCCTCGACGAAGGTTGGGCAGTAGACACTGAGGCAGGGCGAGTAGACGATGTAGGCTGACGAAAAGCTAGTGGAGGAGCCCTCGCTCTCCGCACTCTCCCTGGCATCGACGAACATCATATGAGAAACTAAGTAAAAAGTGAAGGGGTAAGAATAACGAACATAGATGATATTACTCACCAGTAAGGGGCTTGCGTCCATATTTCTCGTAGAAGGACGACCATGCGCGGACCTCCATCGTATGAGGAAGGATGGCGTTCACCCACTCGCGGATACCATCAACAGGTGCAGGGGGTAGTTTCACGGCTGTAAAAGCATAAACAGTTTAGTACTACCCAAAGAAAAGTAGTCGGACATCGTTCCGACCAAAAGTATAGAAACTTATGTGCGAAGTTCCATTTCTCAGGGAACCCTGTAGGATCCGCCACAAGGTGCTCGGTCCGCACATAAAAGTAATTTTCATAGAAGCGATGATTGGCTCTATCATCCATCTTCACCACCAGGATCTTCGACCCTCGATGGCGCATGTGAATCATCGTGCCACGAATGAGTTGAGGGGCAAAAATATTGAGCATGTGCCCCAAAGTGATCTCACGACCGGCGAGCTCCGCAAACTTGAGCAGCATGAGGAACAATTTATACTGGTACGACGAAAGTTGAGCCGGGCATACCTCGTAAAAACGACAAAAATCTACCACCAAGAGAGGGAGAGGAAGCGTGTACCCAACAATAAAGGGGTAGGCGTAGAATGTGCAATACCCCAGGCGGTCAAAATGAACTATGTCGTTCCCCACCGCCGGTATCATTTCGACGTAGTGAGGGATTCCCTACCTAGCCTTCAATTCTGCGATCCCCTCCTCATTTATGACAGAGGAAGCAGGTTCCGGCTCCTCCCCGACGGGACTGTGAAAATCGTTCCATGGTTTCCCAGGGCGAGGCAAGATCTTAGCCATCGACGGGACCTCCTCATCTTCTACCACTTCTACTCCTCCAATGGCAAGAACATCGCTTTCCGACGCCGGGGTTGTGGTAGGAAGGTCAGTGTGAGAAGAATCACCATCCATTTGTATCAATTTGATAAAGCAAAGGGATAAAGAAAAGGAAAGACAAAAGTTCCTGGTAACCGGAGAAAATCAAAAATCCGAAGTATCAGGAGAAAAGAAGATTCGCAAAATTCTTTCAAGTAAAGGCAAGGAAGTGTGTCAATTGAATGGTGCATTCCTTCTATTTATAAGAGACATAAATTCCCCAAGCACGAAACACAAGAGTCGTCAATCGAAGTTGATAGGGCATGAAACGGTTCAATCCCCTAGGAACGTGTGTCATAATGGTGGCAACCACGAATGACGTTTCAATTAAACGATGCTTCGGTTCCGAAACGGCCGCTACGGTTCAAGGATCTCGAAAAGGCGTCGTTACGTTACTTGAATCTAAAGATCATACCCAAGGGGTAGGTAGTCATATTTCTCTTAGATATGTAACAATCATAATCTGTCTATCAGGCCCGACAAGAGACGACCTCGACAGACGGAGGGACTAACTGTAGTGGTCAAAATCTGACCGCTGCGGTCGACCCAACCGAGATCTCGTCCAAGCGGCGAGATAGTGGAAGACGACATGATTTGTTCTAGACCACGTACTCACAATACCCGCCAAGTCAAAGAACAATACTCAGAGAACGACAAAAGCGGACTTGGTATGAGAGTACATTGACCTAAGAACATAGTAAGGATTCCATAACGATATATATGGAGGGAACCTTTCTAGAAAGGAGAGATTTTTCTCTCTTTTTCCTCTCCTCTGTAATCTTCTTAGCAGAGAAGAAAAGAAACAAGCATTTACATCGATTGATGAGAGAAGCAATGAAAAACTTCAATAAGATTGATCGCCCCTATGTCATCTTATGTATCATTTTCTGATTCGTTTATATATAGATCTGGAGTTTATTATATTTGACTAAGATTTACCTTTTCATCTTCATTAATTGACTAAGGTTAACGACGATGACGAATGCAAATTTCGTTTTAATTATTCGTTGAAGCGATGTAGTAGCGCTAGTCCTAGCCGCGACTTCTTTCTCTTGTTTCGTCCTTTACAGAGAGGGGGGAGACGTTAGGTTCAGAATATACGAATTTACGTTAATTCTTTTGTCTTATAGTTTAGCACGAATCTGCATATTAATTCAAAAACTTTTGCTAAACTTATTAAAGAAAAATGTAGAAAAAGAGAAGAAGAAAGAAAATGAAAACAGACCTGAAGAAGAAAAAGGGAGAAGGAGAAAGAAGAGGGTAGCTGAAGAAGAGAAAAGAAAAGGGCCCACCTTTTAATATGTTTATTATATTACGCGCTTAATTGTTTTTTTTTGGTCACATCAGCTATTAGTGTGGAATAAAATTCACTCACAACATGTTTAAGGGGGTAAAAACCACACGTTTAGTGTAAGTGTTGAAATATGTTTTTTTGGATAAATTTAATGTGGTCTTTATGTATTTTCTCTAAAAACATTTAATAGTTCAATTTTTTTTTTTATAATCATGGTATCTCGGTTAGCTCGTGTATACTTTAACTAATTTTACACATACAATATATTGACACGTCTTGCCATCTTCGTGGGTTCACTTCTTTATACTTTGATCCCCTCCCCGCGCGAACGTTTTTGCTCCGTTGCGAACAAATTCGTCCAAATCAGCTTTAATTCAAACTATATATTTATAGTAAGAACTTTATTGCATATATATATAGAAATTAATTACTAACACTTGATATCGTTATTTTAAAATTTAGAACCCGTAAAATTTAAATTTTAACTCCCGTCTCTTACACCATCTAACTAGAAGTACACTAGCAATTATAGGAAACTAGCATGAACTTCTCCTATGTAATGGAGATATAATACTGTCCCTACCGAAGATATTCTACTATATTTCATGTGACAATTGTCTTGATCTTAACTCCACCACTTCAATAATGCAATTTCTAATATTTTTAGTAGCAATTATCATATTTGGACTATTAGGTTAAGCTTTATTTCAACTTTGATTAGAAAGTTTCAACGATATGCATGCAGTGGCGGAGACAGGATTAACCCTAAGGGGTTTAAAAAGAAAAGTTAAAAAGATTATAGCTAGTGAGAATAGAAGCAATGACCTTATGAAGTTATTGAACCCCCTAGACCACTAAGCTATGCTTTTAAGCTATGTCAAGGGAATTCAAAACATAATATATATAGATAAAAAATAAATTATGCCTTATATGTACAATGTAATTTTTCGGTGAATGGGATTCGGATGAACACCCTTCTGCCCCTCTAAATCCGCCCCTGTATGCATGGAAGCAATAAAGTAGTGTGTGACACCTCCTCCTGATTATTATGCAACTAGTGAAGGTAATTGTAAAAGACCTTATCGATTTATGAAGTAATTTTTTTAATGCTTTAATATTAAAGAAATTTAGTTATTTTATAATCCAAATAGATTAGATTTTATTATGTATTTAGTTTTATTTCTTTTAACTTTTCATCACTTGTGTACTTTTTGTTTGTCAGAGAATGATTTTATATAATTGCCCATAAAGGTGAAACGGTATTTGTATTTTTTAAGAAATATGAAAGAGAGATGAACTTCAAAAAAATTGATCTCTTTAAATTTGCGTATAAATTTTAATTATACCTTTTTCTTTGTTCATTTAATATATCAAAAAACTATGTAACTTTTCTTCACCAGCTTTCAAAAGTTATATTTTAATGCTTTCACTCTAAATCTATACCTTTCCTTTCTCAAAATCATCAAGGCTATGCTAAAATTTCATAAAATCTAAAAAGAATTGTTCATTTCCTAAAAAGCTTATCCAATAAATTTAACACACAACATCATCAAAAAGGGGAAAGAATTCACAAGAGGACAAATTTTGCAAGCTTCAGTTTCATTGACATACTTTTTTAGACAATTGAAATTTATCATATACTAATTCCTTTCATTGAAATAGAAAATAATTGATATCAGAAACTCTAAGACCTGGACAAACTTGCTTTCTTAATTCAACATATTTCATTCCGGTTAGAGACAAAATAGGAAGAAGTGAACATCAAAAATAGAAATTATCAGAATCTGCTAAAAATATATCAATACATCACCTTAAAAACAAAGTAAGTAAAATTACACTCCCATATAACCTATTACACATCCATTTTTAATTTGCTAAAAGAATCACAACGATGTATCAAAAGTAATAATGTTCGAAAAGAAGTTGAACACGGAAGGAAAGAATCCAAAACTGATATGCAAGCCAATTTTTTTGAGTTTATAATTCAACTAATTTATGAGTGTATGTCTGACGGTCATAGCTAATGAATTTAAATAGGCGTATATGTGGAAAACAAAGGGTGTCAAAAAATTACACATTGAACAATATTTGAAAGTTACAGATATAAATAACAGAGGATTTATAGGGGGAGAGGAAAAGTTTGAAAGAGGATGTTATAGAGACTTTTTGAGCTAATAAAAATAAGATAATGTATAAATGAGGTGAAAAAAGCCCCCACAGAAGAAGAAAAAAGATAAGTGACTTTATTAGCCAAAGTTTCTATTAATAAGTATATCGATCTTTTTATTTGTCCAAATCTAAATAGTAGCGAAAATCAAACATACCAAAAAATATGTTAGAATCGACTACAACTTAACATAATGAAGATATGTGCCTATCTACGACAATATTTTTATAGTCTGGTTGAGAAAAAAATAAAAATATTCTACAGTTCATCATAAGGATCTCCATCATCTTCTTTTGAATTTGCTCAACTGATTCTCTACGTTCTTCCTCTACTTCGTTCTTCATCCCGATTCATAAATTCTTAGATGACCCTTAAATACCTGTAATTTTTATGTGTCCCTAAAATAAGGGAGAAAAGGAGAAAATATTTTTATGGTTTAAGTAATCACTATGTACCACTTTTATGTGACCCAAAATTAAAGAAAAAAAAGAGAACAGTCTTACAGTTTAATTAACCATACCTTAATAGAAAATGTGAATTATTGGTCTTCATTTGCTGTAAAACTGCGATGAAGTATGAGTGTTTCTTAGAATTAGTCTGCATAAATAGACATTAAAGAAATATTTTTATGTAGAGTATGTCTGATCAAACACACCTAAAATTGGAAAAAAATTAAGAAAAACATTCCTACCATGGGCTCTTAGCAGGTTGTCCACACGATACAGTGATATCCATTTTTTGTCCCACCATTACCGACTCTGCAAAGGTAAAACTTCAACGAATAAGGACTCTTATAAATGAGATTATTTAGGCATTAAGCAAAACACGTATATGTAGTAGTAATAGTGGAGCTGAAAATAGAAAGCCATGAAATTCACTAACAGAAACAAAACTAAGCTAAAGATAAGTCTCTATATATATTGGTGTACTATTGTTTTATGTTTAATGAGGAAGAACCCTTTCAATTCCCTTATTAAGTGATGATGGAGGGCTTTAGCTTTCAAATTGATTGTAGAATTTGTTTATTCATTCTTTTTAGATATGAAAAGTTGTGGCAATAAATATGAATTGAATCGTCGAAGAATGTGTGCTTTTATTTTGTGAAACCTAGGATTAATTATTAGACTTTAACTACTTCTTACAATAAAATAATTAGGAAATAGAAAGTGTTGAAAAATTCAAGAAAAGGAGAAAAAAGATAAATATTTTTCTTGCCTTGAGAGATGTGCCACCTCACTTTCTTAATGCCCTTATATATATATAGAGAGAGAGATTGTGCTCATATCCATTCATAGGCTCCAATATTCTCCTTTTCTTACCATCTAATTTAAGTTATATACATCGTCAATATAAAAAGAAGTTATTTATCGGATTTCTCAAAAATTATTTATAAATAAGCCTTTTTAGGATGTGAGATTTTAAATCTTGAGAATAAATCAAATTATCTATTAAAACAGATAAATATGACATAATAATATAAAAAACTGTACACTAACAATGTATTTAACTTAAACTCTTTCCTCTGACAAAAGTCGTTGGTCGTGTCACGTGACTAAGAACATTTATTAGTTCAATTGATTGCCCAAGGCTCAAATTGGGATACTTTGGGAAAGAGGGAGTTCTCACTAGATCAAAAATTTTAATTTATGTAATGGTACTCATTTTATTTTGAGACGTGCTAAATGTTTGACGTCATTCATTTCAATATGATTCTCATGGTTTTGAATGATGCAAATTCATTAGGTTATAAATATTAAACCTTTTAAATCATTATTTTAATATTCTATTCCAGTATTATTAATATAGTATATATGTTGAATTACATCTCAAACACTATATCTAGTTAAATATTATCATATTCTAATTAATGAGTCTTACTCAATGCAAATCTTTAAATTAATTGAGACTTCAATGCACATAACCAACGCCGAGGCCAAAAACAAATGAAGTCTCTTCTACCTTCTCTTTCTCTGTGCACGACCCTGCCACATCCAAAAGAATATATTTTTTTTTAAAAAAGAACAAACTTATGTGACTTGTGTGTTATGCCAATAAAATCCAAATGTGTGATAACTAAGCTACCGTTTGGACTTATATTTTGGCTATTTAAAAAAAATATTGTTTATTCATTAAATATGATCAGTCTTTTTAAAAGCAAAATTCAAGTTTCCAAAAATTGGTTTGGCCCAGTTATTGGGTGAATTTTTTTTCCACTCTTAAATCTTCAACTTTTCTTTAAGTAAAATGTATAGTCAAATACAATTTTAACTTTCAAAAATTATTTTTCAATACAATTTAAAAATAATAATTTAAGATTCAACCAATTTTATGTCCAAACGCTAGCTAAGAAACTTTCTCCAATTAGCTCGAGTTAAATGCAATTAATTGGATGCTGTCCAACTAGAAGTACAGTAACAATTATAGGAAATTAGCTTGAACTTCTCTGTGTAATGGTAATATCAAACTGTCCCTACTGAAGATCTTTTTTGTCGACATTTCATGTGACAATTGCCTTTATCTTGACTCCACCATTTCCATAATGCAAGTTTAATAATTTTTAGAAAGCAATTTTGACTGTTGGTTTAAGCTTTATTCGAGTCGCTTTATTCCAACTTGATTAGAAAGTTCAAAAGATGTGGAACCAAAAGCTATTTTTGGACTAAACGAACTAGAAATTTTAATTTGCTATAAAGGTGCTAAAATGTCAACTTTTTGGACAAACCGAGCTAAAATTTTCAATTTGCTATAAAGGTGCATATTTAATTATGTCCCATTAATTAATGACTCTTTTTGTATGCTCACCAATTGATTCTTGGTTGTATTAAAGCCCACATGGAGCTCGATTTGTAGAAGATACATTTGTACTAATTTTTGTGTTAAATTATGCCAATTTTAAATTTTAAAGGGTGATATTATCCCAAATTGTAAATTTGGAGTAATAAACATACATTATAACGTTGGATTACGTGTTTTTTGGGAAAATTTCTAGGAAAACTCACAACCGCTGCTCTTTGGGTATGTACTGGATAACCTTCTCACTGTGTAATGGCTCGTAAACCACACATAAAATTTAACCCGCACTAGACAAGTCCAATGCAACGAACTCTGACCGAAAAAAACGTTGGTGAGGACCTGAGGACAATCAATCGCACGTCTCTCAGGTGGAAAAACCACTTACCCAACCAATTAGTCTTTAATAATTTACATTGTATACACAAATAAAAATTATTCAATCACTATAAATATCTGTGATAAAAGGATTATATAAGATTTAATCTGACGAAATCAAGATTCTGGCAAGATCACATGACTAATATAATTTATACTTAATCCCATTTCACATTATTTTATTTAGCTTTCAATGTCCTATGTTTTCCTTTTATTTAAATCAAAGTGATCACCAGCTAGTGGGACGAGTGTCGATTTACATTGAGCCCCTAACCTATGTACTTCTATATGGTTAATTACTTCTTTATTTCTTGATTAACAAGAAGGAACTAAATAAAAATTGCTCCGTACTATGTTTGTTTCTAATTTTATATTGGTATTAATAGCCTGTTTGGCCAAGCCTTTTTTGAGGCAAAAGCACTTTTTTTGATGTCACGATCCAAAAATTCATCCGAAGAAGTTGTGATGGTACCTAGTCTCTAAACTAGGTAAGTCTAACATATACTGATATAACATTGATGTTAACTAACTTTAATTTACATTACTCTGAACAAATTACAATTCCCAAAATCGGTGGTACAAGTCACAAGCCTTTCTAAGAGTAGTTATACAAAAATAAATACATCATTGCTCCGAAACAAAAGGAACAAATGGAAATAAATACAAATGAAGGTGACTCCGAGGCCTGCGAACGCTGTAACAGGTTTACCTTGAGTCTCCACCGCAACCCCCCGCACAGCTACTACGATCAAATATTTGGATCTGTACACAAAAAAATATACAGAAGTATAGTATGAGCACACCACGGCGGTGCCCAGTATGTATCAAGACTAACCTCGGCGGGGTAGTGACGAGGAACAGTCAAGACACATACGGGTCAAATGAAATGAACGGGATATGATAATAAAATATCGAGATAAAGATATCGAGGTAATACCAACAACGTAGAGAAATAAAAATACAAACAGTATGAACAATAAGGGAGAACACGGATAGTAACGAATGATAACCAAGTAAATCAGGTAACCAAGTAAACCACATAACCAAGTAAATCAGATAACCAAGTAAATCAACACTGACATAACAAGAACAGAGATAAGTAAGAATGTATCAAAGTAAAGGAAAACAATGCCAACTAAATCAATCACATCATGCCTAGTACGCAATCCCGACCATCTCAACCCTTGATTTTTCATATCATAATCTCAACTTCCGAGCCTTCAGCACACATGACACCTTGTACCCCCATATTTCATTTTTCATTTCACTTCTAACAACAAAATCCATATGCTATACAATGCACCTAATATGTCCAAGAAGTTCCATTCACCTAATATAAGTAAAATTACAATTTCTAAGCTAAATAAGAAAGCCAACGAGAAAAGATGAAGTTGTTTTCTTTGGAAATCCCTTAAGTAAAGAAAATACCTCTGTTAATTTAAAATACAACATCGAATGGATTATTGCCTTTAACTTGAGAGTTAACAACTTAAAACTTAGTAAAAATTTCTTCTTTTTTTTTAGAAAAATACAACCTCAGACGGAGGAGATATAATTGAGAAACTAATTAAATTAAGGATGTAACAATTATTGAAGTTAGAAATATTGAAATGTATGTATGTGTGTGTGTGTGTATACATATATATATATATATATATA